TTTGGTTAGCTGTGCGTAACTTAGATCGGCCAAGTCTGAGGCACCAAGGTTTATTTATACGACAAACATAAACAATAATTCCTATTGTTTAAGGTTTCGTATTGTCTTGTAGGCCGATTGTTCAATACTATCACTTACATCTTAGTAGTTCTTTGGTACGCTTTATTTTCAACTCAATCGTCGAATTGGAAGGATGGAAATGAAACAAGAAATAGTGGTAATAACAAGCAATTTTTAAACTTTTGTCAGAAAATGCGGGGCTGGAAGCACAAATGATGAATTCACTTATTGGCTCATTTTGCAGAACAATCCATATAATACTGGAATTCTATGCATGCAGGAGTATATTGTGACACTTTTATTGTTTGATTGACTAGGTATTTTCATTGCGAGGGCACCTAACGTTCCAACATTATAATTTTACTCGGCGGCATGTCCTCTGGCCCCATGCCAGTAGCTCCCAGCAATACATTTTCTGCCCCACTGCTATGGATTCGTTCAACTTCAGGAAACACTCGGGGAACTACAATATCAGTTGGTTGTTTAATGTGTTTCGTTTCAACGTGTTAAATTTAATAATATGGTTGACTAAGTCTAAAAGGTAGACAAAAAAGAAGTCTTCCTCTTTGTTGTTAAAACCCAAGCACAGCTGAAAATTTAAAAAAAATAACTACAAAGTGTCGATTTGTATTTCTAAGCTTTTTAAATGCTGTGATTTATATCTTATACTAACAGCAAAAACAATTCGAGTTTTTTGAGATAAGTCACTTTTCAGAATTAGAGCTACTAATCGTTCCACTCAAATTAGTTTTTTTCAGAAGAGATTACACAAATTTTTTAATTGCTTTTTATTTTATATACACTTGCACGAAGAATTACCAATATAAAGCAGAATCGGAATTGTGTAGTTACCCAATGGTAATTGTGATGCAACTGCACTCGTGTGTCTGCTGTATTTAACGCGCGCAATAACTGACGTCGAATGGTCCATAATGCTAGATAGTAGCGCTTCAATACGAGTAAAGGTTTTTATCGTCTGAAAAATCTACTCTAGGATGAAATTCATAATACGATCAGTGAAATTAATGAATCAGAATGCACTAATATACCAAGTGCTGGCAATGAAACAAATAACTATAATAATGATAGCGCAGGTATTTATCATGGCACTGCAATATTTGAGTTCTAAAAGCTGTTTATGATGAGTCTAAACTGAAGCGTTCTTCTACTAGTCCTCCGAGGTCCAAGCTGCAACCATTATTGTTTGAGGCTAATGTACATTCGCTAGCAGTCTGACTTTTTTGTAGAAGTTGCTTTTGAAACGATTCACTAAATGCTTCCAATTGATTTACCAAGATTTAAAGTCCCAATGTGATGTTAATGTAGGTAAGATTCTTTTTCTAAGTTAAAGAGACCAACAAAACTTGTGAACTTATCCTGGAAAATTGGGATGAACTATCGTCTTTCTTCAAACGTACATTGGAATTTAGCTAAACTTTCTTAGTGCACAGTCCCATAAAGCCAATCTTGGGGCCACACGATCTCTTAGCAGTTCTTCACTCAATTGTTTTGAATTATAATAAAGTGATGGGAGGCAGGAATGCATCAAGGTTAGAGTTTATACCGTCTTATTTTTCAGATCACTTGCTACTTTGCCAGTGTCTACAAAATCTCTCAACCAGCTGGTATAGTTCTTCTTATTGAGTGGCTTTTAGCAAACCAAATATATTGGACTGCATGTATCGGTTCCGCAAATAGGTGTGGATGACGTTGTTTCACATGGGAGCTTATTCATGCAAGAGTGTAAAAAGGCAGCCTCAGAAGGTTTTTGACAGAATTATTTTAATAGATATTCAGTCGTGAACACATCTTCCCCCACCGAAGCAAGAAAATACTTGGAGAAAGGCTGTCCATTCGGGTTTCGTTCAAAAATATGGTTGCTGTGTCTTAATATAAACGTCTCAGATGAAGTAAGATTGCTTAACCTGAGATTTCAGCCTGCATAGATCATTGTAATTGCATTGGGTACTTTTACTGAACTTTGATTAAACGGTCATAAATAGCCAAAAGTAGATGAAGTCTCGAAAGGGAGCACTTTTTGTCGGTTCATGTACTAACGCATGGATATTAGCGTATTTCCCATTCTTCATTCTGGAGTTTGGTATCGTCTTCAACTTAATGTGTGCGTGACTAGGCTCTTGTGTTTTAGGATAAAATGCACTATTCGAAACTAAAGCACAGTGTTTCACAAAACGGCTTGCTTGTGGATCATTTAATTCACAAAGAAATGAAATTGATTGTTTCAAATGACGATGCGTATTTCGTTTTTGTTGATTACATTTACAAGGTAAGCGAACTTTTTTTGCGGAAAATAAATTTAATCTCATGAAACTGCACTTTTGAAGGATGCCACGTTAGCCTCAAATCATTTCTGTTTTCCTGATTATTAAATCCCATTTCGATTCATATTTGTACTTCGAGGGTTGTGTGATTCTGTCAATGAATAAGCTTGTTTCCGAATATTTCCCCTTGACTTTTCGACTTTAGGTTTTATTGCCATTTTTGAGAGACCCTGATGTTCTTCGGTGCAAAAACAAGTTGTGTAAGGAGCCTGTCCTTAGTGGACATGACCAAACGTTGTACTCAACTCATTTCCCTCCATCGGGAGTTGTTCCATTTCATGGTTTCTCTATGTATGGTACGGCTGACATTTGGTCAAAAATTGCTTAAATGATCATTGCTAACCGTTTAATTTCTCACAAATAACTTGTACTCTACATGCTCTCGTGGACTTTGCCTACCGTTCTTGCGCAGTTTTAAAATTTTTGCAATTACTGATACATTTCAAGTTATTCAGTTATCTGTAGCATGAGGGCCAGAATGTACCCCGCTAAATCAGGTTGAAATTTGTTTCACTTGAATCAATTGTCCTCATAATACTTTGTTATTTAAATTAACCTGAAACCGAATTTGATCCATTCCTTGGGCGTAGTTCCCTTCATATCTACTTCACAGTTTAACCCATAGACTGCACCTTATCTAGCGACAGAATGTATGAGCCCAGTTCATCTCTGCTTATAAATATGGAAGGAATTAGTTAGTGGCATCTCGGTTGATAATAAACTGGGGATTCTTTTCACTTTGAAGGTAATGTCCAAATCTCATTAATAATTTAACGAAAGTTTATCATATTTTAAGCCGCTCTCTGTCTTGAATGACCGATTTTGAACGTTCATATGCTACATCTGATTTATAGTTTCGCCTCTATGCTATCTCTACGACGACCCTGTTGAGTTGTATATTGTCTTTCGTGAGCTCTATATTAGATACTTCCACAAACTTCACACCATCACCGACAACGAAGAGGTAACTCCTACTGCTGTTTCATATATATTTGCACCCCTAGAGTATTCTTTCGCTATGTATTACCTTTGAAAGGATTCTCCTCGAAAAGGAGCCTCGTCTAGTTTTGCATCTAATGTCGATTGGATCCCCACCGTAGGCTGGTAGACGTAATAGTTCATTTTTCGTAGCCTTCAAATAGCCTTCCGATGGCTGTTAAGGGGCTTCAGTGGGTATCTGGCAGTCGAACAGGTCCTTCTCCTTTGGGATCGTGTCCTGGCCTGGGACTCAATCGAGATTCTTGCAAGTGAGAGCCACTTTGCTAATCTAATGTGCAATAACACCCTTTGCAATGTTAAGTCGAGTGTTGACCCCATCGACTTAAATATGTATGAAATGATGGGGTGAAAACTGTCGTTATGCAAGGATAGCTACACCTTCACTCAAATAGAATGTGACCACTGGTGGATATGATGTAAAATAACAGCTTCCACACTGATGCGGAAATGCACTTGCTAGAATTGTGGTAGGGCGCAACGATATCAAGAAGCAGTGAAGAAATACCTTCGTTACAAGCCAAAATTTGCTTAAGACCAACATTTCGAACAGTATTTTTTCCATCAGGAACCCATTTCACAGACTCTCATACCAATTTTTGTCTTCATGACCTGACAGCTAAACAATACCTAAGCTCCTGTCCACCACAAATTAGTTCTCATGACTCAAATTTGTCAATTCTAAGCCGAAGAGTATGACTCAATCAGTTTTAGCCGCTGCCATATTCGCCTACCGAAGCCGCAACCTAATGGAAGCAAAAAAGCTGGGCACCGTGGAGGTATGTTGGGACAATACTAACAGCTCCAATTCAGGCCATTCTTGCTGACACCTCGGCCTTGAACGTAACAGCTCTCACCCAAAGCTTCCTCTTCACAACTTCCAAGAGTTGAGCTTGCTTCACGTGGTTTCCGCAAATCTCTTAGTGGAGATGTTGAATTTCACATACCTCTCAAATAGTTTTTACTGTAAATGCCCATACTTTATGCTATATTGGTTTGAATCCTATTGTACGGAGCAAAAATTTCGGAAATAATTCGATACGGCGGTTTGATATCACAACTATGGAAATAGTGGTAACTGACTTAAAAGGCATATGGTAGCGATGACACATGATCGATGCTTGCAATGATAAAAATACCCTGAAGTTTCATGAATTTTCAAAAATCTTCCGGAATGGCATTCGATTGACCCCCTCCCAAGGAAACGAAAGTAGGAGAATTACCTCTGAAAAATAGAAGTTGTTTTCAAATTCAGAAGCAATAGGGATGGGATTCTGGGACTACGCAAGGTTAGCTTTTAATAAAAAATAAATGCTATAAAAAAGTACGGACGTTCCGCTTTCAACTGAGGGGTCCCATGGAGGACGCTTCTATTTCATCGGCCAGGGCCTTTGCTTCTTCGACAATGTCCTTTTTAAGAAGTAACTGCTCTCGATACGCAGTGATTGCGTCTGTCACTTTTTTATTTAGGTCCCCAATGCGTGCAAGTGCCTGTTGTTTTGCTTCGTTGAAATCGGTTTCGTGGTTGAGGGGAGGCAGCCTGCTGGGGTCGCCTCGAGATGCGCCAACCAGAGCGCGGTAAAAAGTGGGCGATGGATCAACAAAAATCATCTCATCGTAGATTTCTCTAACGAGGCTCTTTTGGCCCATCATTATATCGTGATCGCAGTGAAATAATTTGAGTAAATGTGTGATGACAAGCGGTTTCACGTTTTGATCTACAAATGTGACCTATAGAAGAGAGCAAGCATAACGACGATAGCCTTTTATGAAGGGGTTACATGCGGCTAAGCTATCTTGAGCCTAAATCCAACGACTAAGAGAAGTGATTCAATATTTGCATTCAAAGGACAGATGGGCAAGCGGGAGAACTTCGGCTTAAGATATACGCAACTCCAAGCATTAAGCAAGTGTGTTTCAGGAAATGCTTGAATGTCTTACTTTGATAGCGATATCGAATTCTCCCCAACCGGTCTCAGTAACCTCGTAGGGAGGTTTGTGGAAGATGCGAATAGGGTTGGGATAGCTGTCGTGCAGTTTGAATTGAACACGCCGAATGTAAGCCGACATGTCCTCGCGTGAATCGAAGGGACGCAGGAAGGCCGTCCACAAATGAGTGCGGCCATCCACCTCACGCTTCTTACCCAAATATCGGGAGATATTGCCGAAGACGATCGGCTTCACTACCGTGGTCTTCACTCTGTCTGCTTCATCCAGTTGCATTTTGAAGGCTGTTAATTAAAAACACATTTACCTACTGATTTCGTCAAATGTTGTCGCATCGAATCACCGTTGACGGTGAATATTATCATAAAAGAGATTTCCAGGATTTGCTGACTAGGCGCACATCAGACAAGAAACAGTCACTGATTACTTTCTTTTTAAAAAAGGCAAATTCTTTACAATTTTTTTGCACTTAGAAGAGGGATTTATTTGATGGCAGACTGTCCAGGTCTCGTAACCCTACGAGATATTAAAGGAAATAATGAGCGGGAATCCCAGTACTTCAAAAGGATGCACACGTACAAAGATAAAGACAGTTGTGTTAATGTGTAAATCATGAATGGTTTTCGTTCGCACAACTCGGGAGCAACTATCAAAAATATTGAGAAGGATAGCATGGCCAATGCGAACGCTTCTGGCCAAGTTTTCTTCTATCTAAAGCTTTATTTCACACTAGAGTTAGTTCTGTGTAGTTAAAAACCTGCAGTATGATAAGTCTATCGAGATCCAGATGCTAGATTGCGCAATTATTGTGGACGATCAATGTTGAGTACCAAAATGGCTTTGAAAAAACATTTTTTAACAAAGAGCTATTTAACATATTGGTCATTTCACATGCCTAGGTTCCAAAAAACCCGATGCTTTAATCAAGTGGAACAAATCCTAGAATACGACTACAGACTAGTCAGTAAGAGAGACAGTACATTACCACTTACTTAGTAGATAATGTTAAAAAATGAGAGAACGACAGCGTTAAATACAACAAATAAGCCGTCGAGGCACACTCAACGTAAAACTTGTAACGAACCCATTCACATAGACACGTAATGAACCAACCAGCAATTCGCGTCTGCTCTGGTAATTGGCTGCCCTACTCATTTAAAAGATCGCCTGTTAAACACTTTAAGAAAATGCCTAATAATTGTAAACCTAGAGTTACGGTTTTCGTGCTAGGTGAAGGCGAAAATAGTAAATCCACAATAAGGATTGACTTTACACAAGTACATCCCGGACCATACTAGGATAATAACGCAGGCAATACTATACTAAGGGTACAACTTTAAAGATACGCTCTGAAAATGTCATGGTGTCAAACAGTCACATCTGGTCACCTCGGCTAATAAATTTCTGCTGAACTATGAGGAAATAGAACATTTGCTATCGTTAAATTCTGACGTTTCCTTCTTCTTCCCATTATGAATTGAAAGTGTCTCTAATTTGTGGCAAGTTTAATTTAGTCGCGGCTCTTGATTTTTAAAATGTTTTTAATTATCCTATTTTGCAGTGTTTCAAAGTTAGTAATATAGTGTCATAAAGCACAGTTATACAAAGTGTACTGCTCACAAATTTAACTAATTTATACAGACTTGTTTAGGTGCATCGTTTGGCTGGCCGCGGGGCAGGCTGTAAAGGCGTCGTCGGTATAGCTTCTTATTTCTCGATAATGCTTAGTCGTTTGCAGGATTCGGCTTCCACACAATAAGTGATATTTTTTCTGGACAATCTTATCGTTTCAGAGGTTCGGAACAGGAAGTAGAAACGAAAAATAATAGGCGTGTTACGATTAATTAAGACGACACGCACGGCTGTGAGATACGTTGTTTCTTGACTGGTTCTTTCGGCTATTTTACCTGCAAAAAGGTGCTTAATTTGACGACTTCCTTTACAGGAGTTTTTTTGACCTCTGCCATTTCGCCTAATTGTTGGGAGCGGTGGTCTGCCGAAACAGTTTCTTTTGTGATTCATAGCCTTCCCAGATTGTAGCGGGGCTAATTCGTCCGTTTAAGTGCTCGCGCACATTTGTTGTGCTTGAGCTTCATTCTTAAGTTCGACGGGACTATGGTCGTGCTATTACGTAACAACGTGGTGTTCCGAGTTATCCCTGAAGGCAGCGCGTACCACCGCGGTTGGCTTGTTGTTAGCATGCAGAATGGCTGGGAGGCTGTGGGAACGGGCCAGGGACCCGGCACTGTTAACTGTACAACCAAACAAATACCGTCTAGGTAAAGTACGTCGTAGCTTGCTTTGTTTGTTGTTATGATCAGATGCTGGCTTCAAGACGGAGGCCAGAAGGCAAGTTTGCATGCTCTTTACATACTACTGAAAGTGAAATCAGTACGAAGATGAGGAACTTCTGTGGCGTGCAATGGTGCAAAATGCGCATCGAAACGAAGTGTTTATTGCCCTAACAAATACCCTAGTATTTACTATTTCCCATTGGAAGCAGTGATGAATATTACGGCAGCTATTCTTTCACTTCATTGCACATTAAAAGCTAGGCGATGGCCCGGATGTGATTTCTTGTAAAAAACGTACTTATAGCTACGCTAAGGGGAATTAAGCGCTCCTCCAAGCACCCACCGACTACGAATTTCACTATAACTCGGTTATTAATGATTACAAGATGATGTGTGGACAATACGCCAGAGACTGCGTAGGGGAGCCTGATGGGTCCACTCACCCGATGGAAACCAAATAAGCATTAAAAAACTTACAGTCAATTCAGTTACATATTGTACTGACCTAGGAATGGACTTGTTTTACTATTAAAAATGATTTGAGGGTATTATTTGCCCTCATTTTAATTAGAATCCGTCATTTTGTCTTAACCTTATAAAGATAAAAAGGCCATTGGCTTGTATGAACGCTAATGCCTCTTCTTAATTTGTATTCTTTAATCTGGGTCGAATTTTTTTGTTTTCCCATCTTGTTTTATAAGGTGAGTTTCTCAGTCAATTAATACGTGATAGTGATGGGTTGCACCTAGTTATATTTTTTTTCACTGAATGCAACCAAAGCAATTGTAGCGGAAGCATGACATGCGGAGATTGAAGTGCCAACATAGTTCAACATACAGCCGACCAAATTGTCAAGTCACTATCCAACCAAGTAATTTACCAAGGTACTTCCATTTTAATGAAACAGTGTGACATTTGTTTCAAAGATCGTAAGTTAATTGAAAAGCCAAAATGATTATAGGGTAATTAAAGTAACCGGACACTTATGCACGCATTCAGAACTAATTATTGAATGTTTGGGTATGAATGAAGACATTTAAAAACTGCAACAGGTATGCAATATGTTGTACATTGGTGCATGCTAAATGGTTACCTCCAACCTGGTCTTAGATAGGATGGTTGAATTCTATGTGTAGGACTTCCTTAGCCAGAGCGGAACAGATACCATTTCCGCAGTTTTTATAATGCTGAATTCTAAATGGTGCAAAACACTAGTGAGTGGTGGTAGACGTGTTAAACAAATCATGCGAAATGCCAAGAATTCCACCTTCATGCGGTTATTTTGTTTCTAGGGTGATGTTGAAAGTTCTTCATGCTCGTGGGTAGCTGCAATCACGGGTTTATTAACACTTTTTAATTGCATAAATTAATTTACAACCCATTCGTACATTATCTAATATATATTTTTGACGCCTTAAAGACCTTTTACGCATACACAGAAGCGGTGTGTGCATCTTTCACTTCGCCGACTTAATTACGCTCAGATTGTCTGCTTACAATGCCGTGTGCACACGCACACGCACACACACCAGCAATGACGATGGAAGCGCCGTTTTATTGTAGGTGAAAACAGCGTTTCTGCGCTTTTCCCACTCCACTCCCCTCCCCATCTTTTCATAATGGTGATAGCATGACATGCGTACACGGGCAACCTACTCCACTGACGAGTAACTCGCATTTTGAGTAAGTTTCCGCCCCCTCTAGTATTGCCCTCCCCCTTCCTCTGACTCGCCGTAGGACTAAATTACCTTCAGGTGAGGACGCCTGCTGGTGGCTCCCTCCCCCTCCCCCTTTCTCCGGCCCGGTATAGTGGCGTGACTCATCTACAATCTCTGACACACATCCACACTAGCGCGCGCCGGTGTCTGCTCTCCACTCTTCTCCCCCTTCCCTTTTCCCCCGCTCATACCTTACTCTCTTCCTCCCCTCCCCCCAAACCAAGACGCTGCATTTGTCTCCGCATTCCACTGCCAGTGACTTATTTCGGTCGTGCCACATATCTGGTCTAGTGATAGGAGCCACATGGAGAAGGGCAATGAATGATTTGAGAACTTTCAGAAAAGGGCCATTTTACTTTGCGCTACCACTCCCTACTGTGTACAAGGAGTATTCGTTAGGTACTTTTGCGATTCGGTTTTTAAAACGTATGCATTACTGTAACGGAGCCGAATCTTATAATAGATAAATGGTTTCTTAAAATGCAGGCTGAATATTTGCTATATAGTTTGAGTCCATGGTAAGCTTTCGAGAGAAAAAGGATTATTCAGAACTAAACTTCCTGGATCATCGGTCACAAATCCACCAACATTATGAGCAGTATGAACGGCCGATTTCAATAAAAACCTCATGGCCAGACAAATGCATCAGGAATACAACAAATTTAACTAAATTTTCATCTTACTGATTATTTGCGATTTAAAACAATGTTGCTAGTTGCAGACCACTGATATATAACGAAGGTAAATAAATTCGATCTCGATTTGCCCTCAGACATCATTTTACTTATTTTAAAATTCTTTTGTAATTGAAAATGCTGATCCAAGGTAGGCAAATCACAGGTAAGGCTGTATTTAGACCGATGATCCCTGTGACGCAACTTTTCGAACATTCGAACCAGTAACTTGGAGAAAACGTTGAATGATCATGGAATGATCTGGAAAGCAAATATTCAATCTCAAATAGTCTTTTACACGGATCGGATAGGACTAAAAAGGGTGAAAAAAAGTTTATTTATGTGTAAGCGCCAACTACTGGCATGAGCCCCACGCTGCTTACCGGCCGGAGCGTTACTGTGAAGTCGAACTTTGTCGGCCTGCAGAAGTTTCCCAAGCATTACATAGAATCGAATTTGCTTATTTATGATATTTTGTTTAATGATCCTAGTATTATTTAAATAATCATGGCTATGTTTTTCTGCAAAAACGCAACTAGTTGTTTGCCACCATGATGATAACACATAATTTAACGATGTCAATGAAAGTCGTGCTAATCTTAAAAAGTTGTTCACGAAACTGTCTCTATTTAGCTCGGTTTTATCTATCACTTCTGTCAGCCTAATGTTATTTGAGCCTCCTAGTTTCGTTGGGTACCCAGCTTATGAGATACCTTTGGACTGAAAGTGAAGCCAAATAATGTTTACCCACACATACCTTGCATCGTTCGTGGGCTTAAAATGGACTCATCCCCATTAGCCATTTGGTCAAATTCTTTACATGTACTAGAATTATTTTTTACGCTGTTACACGGTTCATTCCTTCTATTTATTTCTTTGAATCTATTTTACATCAAAACTGACTCCTTTAAGGCAATCCATCGCCTCTCTCGTAGATTTTAGCACTTTCATTTTATCAATTTTGCGTTTCATCCTTTGAAGATGTGTGTAGTGTACGTAGCTAGCTTTTACCCCACTTTCCAAAGTTTTTGGTCAGGTTAGTCATTTTTGCTTGATGACAGTCAGCAAAAAAACTTGTATTTGTTATTTGGGTGGTAAATGTTAAATCCACCTACTTTAATTGCATTTGTGATTTCGATGTCCCGCACTGTTTTTAGTTCAAATTCGCATTTCAGATATGGATTCAATTTGTTTTATTCTTTTGAACAGAGTAAAATAAATATAATTTTCGGATCAAGTTTAGACACATCTTTGCTTTTTTTAATTGCAACTTCTAATTTCTGGTCTGAATTCAATGAATCGACATGATTCCCTATTAAAATCTTGTATCATTCTTAACATTTTAGTTAAACCTGAAACTTTCTGCTCTGATAATGAATGAGTATATTTTATTCTCAAAAAGGGTGTTAACTGATACGGCTTAATTATCCTCCCCTCTTACTTTAACAATGCTAATCTTTGGTAAGATAGTCGAAGTCTAGCCAAGGCTTCGAGGCGAAGTTAACTTTTTCCCCATGACTTGTACATTCCCTAAGCGGAAAAGAATTGCCTCCTCCAAGTCTGACTCGTCAAACTTGAACTGAATGTGACAACGTGTTCCGTTAACACTGCTGTCTTCGTCCGCTAATTGGTTTTGACGGTTATGTTTTCACGTTTTCCTTAAGTTTTGCTCGCGAGAAAAAGTATTCACAAATCTGTAGGGAGGAAAGTTTAAATTGCTCTCATAAAGGTAGCATAATGAGCTTTTTGGACCCATTGATGAAACTAGTCGCGTCTTTAAATACCCCTCTCGCGTGTATATATCCATTGGAACTGTGAAATGCGTACTTTTTTAGCTATCAGCTGCCAACAAGACCTGTGAATGCTTTCTACGGTATTTACTATCAAACCAGGATACATGGAGAAGGGGTATCATCGATAGTCGCAATTTGGGATATCAAAGGACAAGTGCATGTTAGCTAATACATTAAATAATATGAGGAATAAAAGGGTAAAACCTACTTTATGCATATTAAATTGGTCAAATTAAGTGCATATCAGATTCCATGTGATGTGAATCGGAGTCGCCTTCGGTGAATGATCACTTGAACTATCTATGTTAATTCTCCTCGGTTTATTGTAAAAAAAGAGGGATGCTTTTGAAATCGCCGTTTTGCAAAAAAGATAAGGAAAAATACAAATGAGCGCGTTCTACAAGCTCAAATCTGTTATGAGGATGGTTATAACTTGCTGATCGTTGTGACAGCAACATTGATAGGGAGGGAGAGATGGCAAAAGATGAAGTGTAGAACACAAATCATTGGAGAACGTCGTGTTTAAGCAGCCCTCGTGCATAAAACGCCTTCTCTCCCACGTGTCCGCATGCCATTATGCAACGATGGGCGAACTCCACACCTAACACTTCCCTCCCCCAGTATCCTTTTCTGCCCCCATCCCCCGTGACAGGGCCACATGGGGGAAAGAGGATAAAGCCCGGGTAGGCTCCAAAGCTTTTAGTAACCAAGGCGACGCTAATGGAATCTGAAACAAACGCCTCTCTTCCCCCTAGTTCGCCCTGCTTCTCCCGTTGAGTTCGCCTGTGAGTGCAAAAGCTCGCGTCCCTGCTTCCCTGCGCCTTTGTAAACGCGTGTGAGGTAGTAGTAATGGCAATAAAATTATGATAACAATGCAATGATGCAAATCAGAGTTAATACAGGAAATAACGGTTTTCATGAAAAGTCTATGCGTTTTTTGTGCTTTTTTACGCTAGGCTCGGAAAATTTTGTCGGTCTACAGGGTATTGCGCGTAATATTTATAAGCTACCCGTTATAAGTTATAAGGGAGTTCGTGTTTTGCGTATTTTGTTTTAACTGAATGATTGGAATAAATGAATGAATGAACGAATGATAGGATTCAAGGAATGTGTTTCCCTATCAGCTATTGCCGTTATCACGATCGCTCTTTCCTTCTTCAGCACCACCTACCCCCCACTGCCAAATTGGGAAGGCAGTAACAGCTGACTTTAGCCACCACCTTCTACGACTTATTAATTCATTCATTCAAACATGATGAGTCCACTGCACCGTCAATGTCCCGACGTATCTGTTCCGGCTTGCTATAACGTCTTCATGCTTTTAGTTAAAGATACAAGCATACAAAATTAAAAATTTGCACAAAATTTAATGTGATTTCATTCTCCCTCCAGACGCATAGATCCATATTTCAATGAACCTCAAAAAAATATCTCTTTTGCACTGACAACGCATAATAGGCAAAAACTTAGGCGCTAGTGGCTGAGCCAGCAGAACTATGTTTGTTGGTACAGTCCCCAATCCGCACAATTGCTGTCTTCCATAAATAGACAATTAAATAAATATAGAGCATTATACTATATAGGCAATTTAAGAACCGTTTTACCCTGTCATGATTTACGAATTTCATAGAGTTTAGATTCTCTTCAACTCACCCTAAGGGCCTGTACATCCCATTATTAAGCGCAAAATACCCTATATCAAATTCGATTAATTAAACAATGGACAGTATAAAATATGCGCCCAGACTATCGGTCCAATAACTCTGCCCTGCAGGTAACTTTTTTGTACTAGAGGACCGCTAGGAGGCCTGATTAAGATAGATACTGAAGGCAGAGTAGCAGCCCAGATGAGAGTGGGATTTCTCAAGTCTGTTTTAATGTAAAATTTGAGCAGCGCAATGTGTTCCAATATTTTCTCTTATTAAAATCATGAAGAATCAATGTGGATTTCAACACTTAGTATTTTTCTAATGGTATGACAAAATCCCAAGTTGAAGTTTGTGTTATAACAGAAATTTTCTCAAGTTAATTCAAATCCATAACCCATAACGCTTGTGAAAATTTATTTTAAATACCCCCTTCTAAGTTTGTGAATGATCTACTTGACTTGTAGGACTGAGTATAACGCAATCTTTTTGTTGTTAATTTAGTCTCAATCCCTTAACAATATGATCGCAGGCCGAATCCAATTGTGTTAGTTTATTATGAGTACCAGAAGAGTATTTTTTGACGCAATTAGAAGTTACAAAATATGCCCTGCCCAGCATTTGTTTTGTTTTGGAGAAATTTATCTAGTATCACAAGTTGCACTTTATGAGTTAGAAATTGGTCCCTAAAACACAGTTTAAATTCGCCTAAGAAGATTTAAATAACCTTGAATTTCCCTACCACTTTTTTTCTTCCATGCCAATGCTGTGGTGAGACGCAGTTTTTGGTTTTTAAGGAAATACGATGCATGCCTAGCTAAGACTCAACAAGGTAGCCCACACGTTAATGGGGTGGTTTGTTGAGAAAGAATTACTGCCTTCACTCATGCTCCTTTTCCCCTCCCAGCTTTGCCTCCGATACGCTCCACCACCCCTCCACATATTCTTTCCCCCCTCCCTCCCCGATGGCCAATTAGGCTTTTGCTGGCCTGAATGTGATCGCCCATGTTCACGCAAAAGGCCGATGTGGTGGCCGATTTTACTGTTTCTATTTTAATTGATGAAATTGGGAAAAGGTTGCAAACAAGGCCATTAGTGGAGGATTTTATACTGTAGAATATAAACGGCGTCGCCTCATAAAACCGAACTGAACTTATTACACTAAAATGTGTGTTTAAATCTGTTTTATTTTGAACTCGGCCATATCATACCATTATGTCTAAAATTCTTTACTAAATCACAAATACAGCGCTTCATCTTCTAGACGTGAACTCATCCTTAATTCTAAATCTGTGGGATTATCATTCCAAATGCAATAATATTAACTTTCTCAGATGGCCTAAAAATTCCTTTCATTCATATCGGAGACATCACTACTAAAAGAGGACCACTTCACTCAATCACCACAATGACAATTAATGGGAGATCGAAATGCTTACTTTGAAAAGTTAAGGCGCGTTAAAATTATGCTTCCAAAGGCACCTGCACGACATTGAGATGGTCTGCTTTTGACTTGGTTAGTTGCTAACCATGTATCTGAGTGAGGTATCCGTAGCAATGAATCGTGTCATAAACGTACCTGTGTCCACTATAAAGTCTGTTCCTTTCAAAGTACTTTCCAATAAATGTATGAATTAAAGAGGCTATTGATTTCACTACTCTTTATCGTAAGCAATCAGGCAATTGTTCTTTCTAGTTGAAATAAAGCTTCAAGAAGATACGGAGTCGATTTCACATTTCAAACCTTAACTAAAGTTTTGACTGCTCGATTCTCGCAGGAACACTTTTACAACCCTTTTTCGAATTTTACCCATAACTGATGTAAATAACGCAATATATTTGAAATTTTTCATTCCTTTAATTCGCATGAGTGAAAGTATTTCCCTTGAAAGATTGCCCCCATTTCGAGTGGCGGTAAGAGCGTCATAATTTTAACGACTATATTGCATGGTCTTCATTCAGGTTCAGCATTTGACTAACAAAATTTTGGCTTTGATTGATCGCTGAGGTATTGCCCAAGTGTAAAACTGCCAAATTAGGTGTTTAGGCAAGAAGAGGAAAAAGCACAAATATATCGGGAAGCTATATTCCACTGCAATATTGAAATTCCCACAAATCAGCAATAAAGTTGGTTGACAGTGCTATGTCTAAATTAACTCGAATTTTTTGTGGTATTCTAGAAAAAATATTACTCTCACGATTTCGAATGACAATTCAAGAAAATTTTGCACCACGGTTTTTAAGGTATAGAAAGAATAAAGTATCAACCAATAACTTGTTGGTAAGTTTATAAAAGTTTAACTACTTACCCACCTATAGGGCATAAGAGGAAAGTATTAATAAAAACACTTTCTCTTAAGGCAGGTACACTTCTTCATGATAGCCTCTTCCTTTTAAGAATCCCTCAACAGGCATGAAGCCTTGTGTAAGTGTCCATGGATTGTTAAGGTGCATTTGCTAAGGTTTTAGCACCATACCAGATAATTAAAAGTGGCCCAACGAGCTATCTGGAGGACGGTAGTAGTAATAGAAGCAGTGGTATATCACATCATTTATGGGACTGGATGGGAGTGGTGGTATCGAGATGGGGCGGAATGGGAAGAGGAGGCTAGGTGGAGAGAGAGGGTGGTCGCAGACTGATTGGTCGTAGGGTGGTGAAGGTGGGATCACCTATGGGGAAGACAAAGGGCGGCCCGTCCACGACGGCGGTGGGAGCTGGAGGGCCATTGCTAAGGCCGCCAGAACCCCCTGGGACACCATACGACAAACGGCTTCCTCTCGTGAATCCGTCCTCGTGTCCTGGCTGGCCCCGCTGCAGGGGGTCCACCAGGTCAAATGTCGACACCTTTAAGGCGATCAGGAAAGCCTGTTTCGTAGATTTCGCGTGTACATCAAGCGTTCATGTATTGTCATCGCATGTAGTAGCTCAGCTGCCTATATGTATCTAAGGTCTTGACAACGTTAACACTTCTTATGCCAAATTTTATTTGAACATCTATCAAAAATGCATTTTAGACTTACTATGAGCATCAAATCGACTTACAGCCTGTTTAAATATCACCTTCAATGCTACTACGTGACCGCTTTCGTAAATATCGGCAGGCAAATTTATTTTCTCTTGAATGTCGTCAGAACACGAGAGAATACGCTTTATCCTGTGTTAAGATTTAGTGACAATCAAACGCTATGCGCTTGAAGACGTGGCAAGCAATCGATTTTAACGCCACTCTTCCATGAAAATAAAAGTCTTGCCTCCTCTGTTGCTGATGGAAACACGAAGATTAGAAAGGCGTTTAATGCACTCACTTGCCTACAGATGTGACCTCACCGCGCCACCACAGAGCGCGTTAATGGAATACTCAAGGTGGGGGAAGAAGAGGGGTGGAGTGATGTGGAGAAGAGCACGACTACGTCTTAGAAATCTCTTCTTTCCTCTCCCGGGTAGCAGAGGGCGTGGGTGCACACCTATCACCTAAAAAAATCTGAGCTATATGTTTCCATCCCTCATTCTCTCTGCCAGCCTTCCTCCCTCCCCCGGTGCGTGCGCGCACCTGGCAAGGTCGTTCCTTCTACTCTCTCCTTCCCCTCCCCTCTCTGCCCTCCATTCCCCCACCACCTCATCACGTTAATGCGTTTTCGCGCAGAATTTATGGCCTAGAAGAAGCCGGGAGGGGGGCGGAGGGGAGTGGGAGAAATCTACTCCAGGCCAAAGAGTGCACATCGGTATTTGTGCACGTCATGCTCTCAGTTAGTTGCCTCAACCACTCAGCCCCCTCTCACTCCTCCCTCCCCCCTTATGGTAGAAGCAGCAGCAGTGGCATCGAACAGAGAATAAGTTGGGCTGTTAACATCGCTGTTTTGGGCGTGTTTACGCGTGCGCGGCAATATCTGAGCTCACGGGCACGCACCTACGTGCACGCCCCAGCACGGCGAGCGAATCAGAGTTTTTATGAGCTCATGCGAGAACGTTTTTTTGCTCAACCTAATGCGCATTATCTACTTTCACCAATAAAGTGTGAAAATGCTAATACAAGATAGCACTAATGAATTGTGACTAGATCGTATCCGTTAAAATGTAGCGCGTATTTCACTCAATTGTATGCTTAAACGTCCTACACTGTTGAATGGCTATAGAATATCTGTAAGAATGGGTTTATAGAAGCTGCTGATTCTATTGGCTAAATATGACGATCATGTCTGAAGGTTAAGCATGCAGCTGATCACCATGCTATTCCACTATTTCTTAGTTCTGTTAGCATAAGCTTGGTAAAACTAACATCACGCGATTGATCTTAATTGTCTTCCACTTTATTTAATAATTTTTCATGAGTTTGGTATTTAGCTTGATATTATTAATAGAACCATTTTAAATATTTCACTTTAGCCCAAATTCCACCTAGTAAGTCAAATTTATGTTTACTCAGCTGTTTTATGTCTTATTAAAGTGATGATCAAAAAATGTGGGAATGACTCCGTTAGAATTCTCAAAAGTGACTTTAAAACCATATAATGGAAAAAATGCATTGTATATAGATTACAAAAATGACTAGAATTCACTGCCGTATCTGGTCAATTATGTTATAGCTATGTTTTTGAACAAAATTGGCAGCAGTATATGTTTAAAGTATTGCTTATCCTCTAACCTCACAACTTTGAAGAGTTGCAACATTCTATCTCGATTCTGCTTAAAAAACATTACGGCGACTGTCTAGTTTGTAATTACATTCTCAAACACAAAAGTCGCAACGAGAGTAGCTCTTTTATGCAAGGCATTCAATGTGACTAAAGTCGGAGTGTGGACAGTTAGGAGGAACAGGTGCAGTTACCAAACGAGCAATTCACATAGGTGGCAGCACTCACCAGCTGTTGGAAGGGTGGAAAGGGACCCTCATCCCCACCAGGTAATCCCATGGATGGGGAGAGCATGAGGTGAGCCGACGAGGAGGAGGAAGAGGAGGAGTGCGGTATTGGCGGCTTTACGTCGACGTGGGAAATTGGAGGCAACATGCCGTTGAAGAGGTGTGAGGGTGGTGGTGGTGGTGGCGGGTAAGCTGGAGAGAAACGGGGCTGAGATGGGGGTGGTGGAGTAGACACGTCGGGTCTCACAGGACTGCACATGCCCCCTGCTCCGCCAGCACTTCCGGCTCCTCCATTATCACTGGAAATGCGTTGAACCTCGATACCTGAGCTGGAACACAGCATGCTCGAATCGTTGGGCAGGGGACTACCGGCTACCATAGGAACGCCTTGCAATCCGCAGGGATGCAGTCCATTCTAATGTTGTCGGAAGACACCAAATTCAAATAATAATCTAATCCATGCTCGTTTCACATTGACCTTCAGTCATATGACCTAAGTTTTTTCCTTTTTGTCGGATTTCGATCGTGCCAGCATCCACGAGGAACATTCTTTTGACCAAATGAGCGCCCAAAGAGGATGTAAGGAGGGTTGCACCCAATTGCTTAGAATACTTTATCCTGGCTACCACAATAACTTCCTGTTGGATATTTATTTTAGCAGCAATAATGCATTTATAGAATGAATTTGGATCTTGTCTATTGAAATTTTAGGACTCAGCTGCCCAATTCCATTTCTATAAGAATTTATGACAAGGGTAGGATAATGGGACCTTTTGATTATGTGATAACGTGGTTGAAGCCAAGTAGACAGAACGGGGAAAATTATTCACCCTAGTGAAGGGAAAGCAGTCACATAGAAAGTCGCATGGCGCTTACACGTTCCTGTCATCGGAGGAAAACAGGAGACCTCCTTTTTATTCGACAAATATTAAAAGGTTTTTCCGACACATCCCTTTACCCACCCGCTTTAAACGAAAGCGATTTTGGTCTCCCTAGTGCAGTTATTTAGCAAAACTTCGGATGCCTTATCAAGCGGTCAGGGGCGGAGCTTTGGGTGTCACTAGATTGATCTTCGTTTTTGATGAAGTGCAAAAATCCCTAGAAACATTCAATGGTGTGCTGTTAAGTTCGACGCATGTCCATGAGGTATTCATCAATGTCCCAGAAGTGACCAACGAAATTAGATAGAAAAGATTACCACAAATAAGACCAATATTTACACAAATCAGCTTATTTTTTGCATTTTTTTGTGTCCTATACAATTTGTGGGAGTAAGATACTATTTGTTACTGATATTAGATTAAGAAAACACATCCTTGACACAATGAGGCTACATGACTTGACAGGACAAACGTGTCATTCCATTTGGAAATGTCGGCTCCCACAGTGTGCAAAAAGAGAAGTGGAGGATGGGATTGTTCGTATTCTCATACCAGCTAGCCAAGAGTCCCACTAACCACCTGATAAGCATCAGATTACCTATTAAGGGAGGTCTCAGACTATGGGACCGAATGCACGGGTGTCCTCGAACGCGACCTCGAAACCAGGATGAGAATGTGCTTTCTTCCGCTGCCCTCATTGCGTACCTGTCAATTTCTTTCGGAGTTGTCTGACTGTTTAGCAGTATAAACCAGTACTAACTCTAATCTGTCACGTTACTTTGACATAAATTAGTGGAAGGACCGATTTTAGAGATTGACATGCTAGTGGTAGGATCCTCGCTGTACCGAAACTGCGACCAATCAGACAAATGAAATAAACTGACGCTCAGGTTTCCACTATTCACGCAATGTATCATGCAGAAAACCACTTAATTTAGATCTGAAAAGACCTGTATAAAAACGTGCTCATTTATATCAGAATGGAGTGTGACAAATGGGAATTTCCCATGTCTTACCTGATGATGTTGTTCCATTTGTTTAATCATAATCTGTTTCTTCTTGTCCTTGCAGCGCTTGTTTTGGAACCAGACGCGAATGACCCGAGGGCTGAGGCCAGTCATCTCTACCAGCTGCTCCTTCATCAAAGCGTCTGGACGCGGGTTTGCAGCATAGCATGTGCGCAGCATGTGCAACTGCTTCTCGTTTAGCACTGTTCGTACCTGAAGGAAGTCGATGCCCAGCATAACCCTGTGATTTACATACCACTGCATATTAACTGCAGCCTTCATATTATCTACTCCAAATGTCTCGGGGAGGTTGAAGACACGATGTTTGAGGATGAGTGGGCAAGAATAAACTAACTACATTTGAGCAAAATTAGTCAAAGGTAAAGGCTAAACTGGAAGGACAATACTTCCCACAGAGAAGCTACAAAAATTTTCATTCCCCTTTAAAATACTGATGTAAGTCAAAAGTACCGGATGGGGTGCATTTTAATTCAAAGCACTCCTCTTTCCTATCTTAGGAGTCTTGCACAATTACTCAAATTTCCAGAGTGGGATAAGATACCGCATCTACTAGAATATCACTTCATTAGCATGATTAAAAGCTGATAGATTTACTTTATAAACTTTGCGTTAATCGCATTTTGCTACCTTTTGTCCGAAATGGCGTGGTCTTTACGTCACCCAAACAATAATACTGGGCTAGCAAACGCACTTTAATGGTTATTGTGTTCCAAATTAATACCCAATGGCCCAATTATCAACAGCGAGTACTAATTTATTGTTTTACTAATTAGAGAGTGGCAAAAGTGAGGAAGTAGCCATTCAGTGAATGGTATTTCCAAGTACATCTTGAGCATTCTATCATGCAGAATTCGAAAATAATGCAAGTTATACACAACAAATGTCATCGATGAATCAACAACACTCGTTTACGTTTTTCGCCTGTTTTTGAGCATTTTGAGATAAAATGATTTCAAATTTACTTCAAGGGAAGGATTATAAATATAGGTGAGACAGTTTAATGCTAGCTGCATTGCTAGATGCACCTAACTAAAATCCAAATACAAATTATTTTTAGAAATGTTTATGAAAGCGTCTGCCGCTTGCGCATTGCAACCCTCTAAATCAACGAAGGATGTTGATTTAATATAAGCATTTTCATGATTTAACTGGGTTGGAGGCAAAATACGAGAAAGTTTGTTGTTTTCTTGAATGCCGGCATCTCATCAATTAGGTTGTTGTGCTCTGTACATGGGAAACTTGTATGATTTACATTGGAGTTTACTGTTCGAAGTCACTTTTCGTTGATTTTCACTGCGCCCACCTTAGAAGGAATCTCCTGTTAAACAAAAGTCACTTCTCGGATGAGTAACAGGCATTCTTTCAGTTGCGCAAACATGGTTTCAATTGACCTTGTATGAACCAGGGTCAACGGCGGCGACAACTGCCGTGGTGACAGTTGCGACTGCCAATCACGTATCACTCGACCCACAGCCTGTGGCCTTGTAACCCCTATGCCTCCCCTTTTCCTCTTTCCCCCTTCTCTCGTCTGCGCCTTAGACCTCGCCTGCTGTGCCGTGCAAACAGCTGGAAGGTGGAGATTTTCCACACCGCCTGTTATATGTCGCAAGGTAAACAGTGTGTCCCCTTGCATTCCAACTCTTGAATCAAATATGGCACCCTAGCAACTTGGCCGTAGAGGGCTAAGCGGATGTCATGACAACGGGTTAGTAATGGCGATAACGAAAGTGACACATGATTCCACTCGAACGGACATTAAATCTCCACTGACCTCTATTAAACCTTTCAACCTGATGCGTATCAATACATAGGTTCAGGAAAAAATTCAATGATTTCTAGGGTTTCACTTAGGATAGTACTTAACAAAATGTTTTTGATGTTGAGAATTCAGCAGAGTACCCCACTAATGTCAGATTATGTTTTAGAGGTGTTGGAATTTGATGGAGTGTAAAGGTGACCAAGTGGTTAGAGTCTGCAGTCCAAAACCATCGTAGACGTGAGCTCTACGAAGTTCGTATTTGATGGGGTTATTGAGTAATTAGTTTTGGTGGTTTTGAGGGTCAAAAATCAGACACTTAAATTAGCTTATTATGAGTCCACTTCTGCTTCCAATCATATTGGCCTTGATCAATGGGGAACAAACTGGTGACAGGAGGTCACGAGCCATTCAATTACTGATTTTTCGAATTTGCTGAAGACAGGCGAAAAGTGCATTAGTTTCACAAAGTCCTTCCAAGAGGTTCCCGTTCCCATAATTTCTTCATTTAGATAAATATGGAAAACCAAAGAATCAGGTCATACCCTGGTGGTTTTTTGTTCCTTTGATCGTTTTCCTCCATTTTTGCCACCACCGCCGCTGCCACTTCGTGTAAGATGGTTGTGTCCTACCGCGGAGTTGGCTGCCGGTTGAATAGGTGGAGTTTCGCCGTTGAGGGCGGGGGTGGTCTGTTGCTGCGAGGAGGTGTCACCACTCAGACACGAGACCGCAGCCGAAGTCATGCATCCAAAGAGGCTACTGCAGTCGTCCTCGTCCTGACTTCCCTCCGAGTTCGGAGTCATCGGAAGGTCTGGATGTAAGTGGGAGAAGAAGAGTTGTTGCGAACACAACAATTCATAAGGTCAGTGCGGTAGTAACAACGGACAGGTGAAGAAAATATTTGCGATTTTCCTTAAAAAAGTAAATCTCTTCCAATATAAAGGCTTTCTTTCGACAAATCTACGAACTTGCAATTATCATTTATTGAGTCGGGCATAAGGTAAATTGAAATAATGGATGCAATTAAGTCGTGCATTATTAATGTGGACTGACTAATTACTCTTCTAAAATTTTGTGGATTTGACAAAAAATGTCAGGAGTTGTTATTTTAAACTACATGTTTGCCGGCTGGTTTCATTCCCCACTTTTAAGATAGAATATCAGATTAAGTATCAATTATTTTATTATTTTACTCTCTGGGTAAAATTTGCGGTAACAACCTTATCAAAGAAGACGTCAAAAGACCAATGAAAAATCTTTTCTATTCGTTTATAGCCAACATGCAACAATTATCTACGCACTGCTGTGAAAGTTGTAGAAAGCCATCCTGCAAACTGATTGTTTAATTATACTATTATTAATGCCATTGGATAACAATGATTGAAATAGTTGCGAACGCATGGTTTAACTGTAAAATGTTGACCGGGATGCCTTATAAAAGGTGAGAATTAACACAAGAAAAGGCTAAAACTTTCCACCTAAATTTATATTTCCCAACTCATAGAGCCTATTCTTATGCTTCGTGATCCGAATAGCAAATCTTATTGACACAAAACTACACATCTATCGGAGTGTTGCACAAAATTTGTCCGTTGACTGTTTAACGTATCACCTTATTCACTTCCTTTTAGTAATTAGGGAATTCGCAGAGTCATGAAAAAATCACTTCGCTGGGTGTTTTCATCAATGAGTACCGAATTCTAAGCTTTTTGGAATTTATTCTTGCATTTTTAATTTAGTTAAAAACTTCTGTTGAAAATTTAAATTCAACAAAGCCATACTGAAGCACCTGAGATTTTAGCACACAGGCGTAATATAAAACTCCATGCATTGTTCCTTGTACGGTCATGACCGCGAACACACGAAAGGGTAAAAGAAAGGGGATGAGTCTAGACGGGATATGATTTAGCAGACTATGCTAGTTGCTAGCCCATAGACTCAGAGGTAATGTTGCACGTGCCGAGTGGAGATACCGCAGACCAGATACAGCATGAACGGTAAACTACAGCGTCACCTCCCCTTGTATGGTCCACGCCACGTGTCCTCGGAGGAAAGGGTAGGTTGGAGGAGCAAGCTTTTGGGGTCCCTCTTTCCCCCTCTCCCTTTCGCCTGTAACTATGTGGTCGATTCTCACTCTCCCACTGGGACCGTTGAGAAACCTAGAGTGCTCAAAGTATGGCCTAGCAACTGACTTGGAGTAGGATCATGGATAAGAAAGGAGTGGAAGGGGAGGAGGGGAGAGGGTGAGCAAGTGAGCTTAGATGTATGTGATTAATACCAGGAGTCGGTTTTTGCGCACGCATACCCAGCTGTTGAGCTTTCGACGTGAAACGGCGGGGTGTGCTCATGTGTATGCCGGTCTCCAAGCCACAAAAATCCCCTCCGCACTTAAGTCATCGCCTATCTGATATTTTGGAAAGTGCCTCGATTTGTGTATGAATGTGTCATGGACGAGAATCCTTTTGTGGCTTTTTAAATGTCACGTGAATTCCATCGAAACAACTGCTAACACGTTTGAGTAGCACCAAAGTGTAAAAGCAGCTTCTACACTGAGAACTTACGTCGAAAGGAACTTAAAGGATCATTTAAAAACTAAATAACCACTAATGGGGCTTCTTAAATTGCGTAATTTTGTGCTTTTAACATAGAGAAGCAGTTGGGCAAACTGGTACGCGGAATCGCATCGATGTTAGTATGTAATAATTTATTTCAGACTACTTGAAAAACTGACCGAGATGGTAAATGGAGCCTAATTATTAGTCATGTCCTAAAATAAGCATCGTTCCCTGATTAGGGGGCGTATCCAATGTGAAAAAAATATATTGCTTAAGAAAGACTGATAATCTGAAGCGTTTTATGCTTAAGGAACAAATACCATTTTCTCCCATTGGACCGTCAAGGGAGCTGGAAGTGCTGTCAGACCCGGTGCGATGGGGTGGTTGAGGACTTAAATAAGTCGCCGGTTCGCCACCATCCACCAATTTTAATGTCGACTGTTGTTGCTGATCCTCGTTGGGCTTTGAGGTGGATGAGGAGATAACCGGGGAGAGGAGAGTGAGCACTTTGGGTTCAGCAGCGTCGCCCTCCATGAGAGTGGTGGTGTTGGACACGGTGGGCGGCGGAAAGTCCCACTTTTCTGGCATTGCCAACTTCGCGTCTCTCAGACAGTAGGGCATATCGCGACGGTAGGCGATCTCCTCACCGGGCTGGAGGATGGCGGAACAGACCACACAACGGAAGCAGCCCATGTGGAAGGTCTGGTTGCGAATTCGTAGGACCAGATCCACCTTGGTTATGGGCTGCTGGCAACCCGCACAGCGCTGGAGAAAACTGCTGCTGGGGAGGAAAAATGCCACATCTATAGTGGGTCGTGTGATCTTGGATCACCAGAGCATCTACTAATGGTAAGGAAAAATCACACCAGTCTTCATAAGACAGATTAGTATCATAATCTTGTCTGCATAAAATTCGATTAACTACACAATTAGTTGTCAAATGCAGCAGACACGTTGCACTAAGGAGCAAATGAACTCGAGTGCTGGTAGGGTCCATTACCCTGAATTGCTCCATTCATTTTGACCTTCAGAAAACATGGCTACTTAAATTTAGCCACAATAAATTTATAGACCAAAACTTGTATTTTAGATTTATGTATATACTGGGACTAATTTGATTAAGTTACAAGTTGTTTTTAATCTACTTAAGTTGATTTTGTACCTCAAACTGTGGTTTTAACCAGACAAGGTCAATGCTTTTAAAAAGGAATGTCTTCGCTAGACGCCTATACTAACACGGAAATCGACTGTTTCCGTATTATTTCAGAGTTTCCTGTCATGCAATCTATCTGCTCATCAGACTCTCAGCAACTTTCACAATGAAGAAATCATTAGTTCGTTTTTTAAAAAAACTTCACTATTGCGTCAACGAGTTGACTGCTAAGTTTTTACTTCGCTCAACTTACTTCAACACAACATATGCTACGTGCAATTCTGACATTCATTGAATTTAAATAAACTGCATTTGTGCAGGCATAACCATTCATCTAATCTTTGCCAGAATGAGATCACAGCCACACACCTTAAATGTACATTTAAATTTCTAGTTGGTAGCTTAAAACTTTTTCTTCAAACCCAAAATTTGAATTTAGGTCGGAAAATGGTATGGCAGTGGCTAGAGGCCAATCAACAAAGGGCAATATTTGGGCCCATTCGACAGGTTATTTCATGTTTTTGAAAAATATTATCCTTGTCCACAGTAAATCTTTGTCGGCTTTCACCCGTTCTCCAAGGTGATGAAAACACGTAACCTATTTGCCGTTCAGTTATTCGCAAGGCCACAAGTGCCATTCTAAATGGCTGACATATCCTCCGCATTCAGTTGATCACTAAGCTAGTTCACTACAAACACCAAACAGACAACAAAGTCTTCCAATTTAATCAACACTGCCCGGAATCCGATACTTTGACCTGAATGGATCGTTTGTCTGCACGAGTTAGCTGGGACCTTTGATAATAATGGATGCACAAACGCAGGTATGAGTTCTGGCTCAGTGACCAAATTCAAGCATTTAATGCAACCCCTTTTAATAAAACGTGTGTAAATACTCCATTAATTGAAGTCCATTACAAGTTCATATTTGAGGCATCAATGCGATTCTGCAATATTCCATTCCATGCACAATCCATACTTGATTAATCGTGACGTATTACTGCACAAAATTGAGTCTCAACTTTGCCCCAGCTTGTCTCGATTTTTAGCGCTGCAGGCCGAGAATTTATATATCCTCCTCCTGCTCGTTGGTTATTTGTTGGAAAACAAGTGAATTGTCCCCGATGTGGCGCCACACAGGGTCCGGGTAGTGACGTCCAGACTGGCATCGCTGAGGGTGAATTGCATTATCACCAGTCTGGGAATGGTATAGGCGCAAACAAACAGGAGAGGGATGCGACTCTCGAACGGACAGGTAAAATTGCTATTAATGGGTTTGATTTGAGGCGATTAGGCCTCGACTTTTCAGGTTTGTGACTGTGAGGGTGTCAGTGCGAACGTCTGTGCTTCGTCTCATCTGTTTGCAGTACATTACTTGACTCACTCCCCTCTCCTCCAACATCTATGACATATTGCAAGCCGTACATTTTGACAAAGGGATTGGAACAGACATTCCAGTACTATATCTATAAAAGTGGTCACTAACTTTTTTTGCTGGCCACAAAGGCAGCGTAGACCAATTACTTTTCTTTTGACAGCAACCTACGATGCCCAAAAGTGGCCAGTTTTTGGCCGTGGGAGCTGCACATTTAAAGTTCTGAACCAATTTTCAGTTCATTTTCTGCTAAAATAGATTATGGGCATGTTCAAAGATTAGTGACATTGGTTACTTAAAAATATTAACAAGCCAACAAGCCAAAATGCCGGTAAAAGTGATCGATTTATAAAGTCTATCAGTAGCTTACAATCATTAGCATATTTGTGGCCGCAAAGGGCAGCAGCTTTAAACCTTAATTCATCCCCATATACTGCACTCTGGACGGAAGAGCTGGATGTAACTGACAAGTGCAGGATGTAGATCTCGATGTCCACTTCTCGGCTGGCGCTGCCCCATTCTCCCCAAATCAGGCCAATCCGAGTCAACCTTTCACCACCGCACACACGTGTGTCTGTAATGCCGGGGTGGGAGGGGTTTGTTTGTAGATTATATTTAGCACCTTGTGGCCCTGCAGATGACGCGTATATTTTTTATACCTACCGTAGATCTCTCCTTCCCCTCTCCCGCCTTCATCTCATCTTAATCTATCTGGTCTTCTCCCCTCTATACTAAGACGTTGGTAGGGTGACAAAAATTCCCAAAAAAGTGTGTTTAGTCGGGTCCTGTCTGATAGAGGGCAGATGTGAAGTGTCATTTTTTTCTATGTCGTTTTAGGTGAATGATGGTCGTTTTTGAGCCAAATGATCAGCCGAGTTTTCAATTTAAGTGCTGGATACAAAATTTCCCCAAGCGAGAACTGTGTAAACGAGGTCTTTAATCCTCCGCATTATCCTACCGAAGGCTGTTCAGAAAATACAAATGCATCGGAATTAAATTAAATTCTGTACTTACGATTGGGTACTATATGCAAAAAAAAATTTAATTCCACGTAACCTTTATTTTATAAATGTCGGTGGGTGCATGATCCTATTCAAAAATTTGTGCTGTTTAAAAACTTTGAAATCGACAGAACATCAAAGGCGTCACATGCGCTGGACGGCATCCAACAGAGAAGACTAGTTTTTAATTTTAAGTTTTAAAAACTGAAAATAGTGCCAAGTATACCCCGGAAGTTGCTTTAAACAATCACAATGGTGCGCATCAAAATAAAATCTCGATGACTTAGACATTCCATTTAAGATCATTTAATGACCCCTCATTATTTTATCAGATGAGTAGAGGATCTGAAAAATCAGCAAAAACTCAATGTCCTGTCAAATCAGCAAAACCATTTGTATTTATTTATTAATTTGCAACTATCTAAAACACATTTGATAATATTCCAATGAATTATTTGTTCATGCTAATATAATATTTATTAAGAAGAATTCGCGAAAAGTAACCCGTCAAAAGTAGCAAACTATCAAAACCCCTAAAAATGAATAATATTGAAGATAAATTACGGTGGAGAGTCTAATGTTAATTATTTTATGATTTAAATAATTCGAAAATATTAACAGTGGAAACATTTCAATCGCAGGTAAATCGAATTACCCACTTCTGATTACTTCTGGTGGTTGTGATTAACAGAATTTTTAATTAGAACGAACTAGTTCGTGTTTTCAGCATGACTTGAAAAGGATTTTATTTTATATTATTTTGACAGAGGCTACCTCAGTAGTAACTGAAATTGACTATAGTGAGTAAATAAAAGAATTTGGGTAAACGCACTATGGTTAGCAAGGATACGTGAACAATAGGGCTAAATTAGAGATGAAGCGGTGGAAGAGGGAGTAAGGGGCCGTACTTGCAGTAGTCCTCTCGGCAGTAAGCCTTGCCGTTGCGAACGAAGCAGCTGGTCTCGTCACTGAGGCCGCGCTCACACTTGTAGCACTTGAGGCACCTCCCATGCCACTTGAGGTCAGGTTGAACATGCATGATGAAGGGGTCGTAGATGGCTGCGCCACAGCCGAAACACACGGCCCCTGCCTCCTCCACCGTTGCTGTTGTTGGTATTGCCGATGTCTGTGGCGGATCCATCCCTTCACGAAATTAAGCACACCCAAATGATCAGGGTGTTAAATATGCATAAATTTGGTGAAAACGAAGAGGTTTGCTTGAGTATTGACGATAGCAGGAATAAGAAATATTGGTCGATTTTAAATAAGTGGAGAAGAAACTAATAAATATTGCAACCCAACAGAGTTTACGTCAGGAATGGCACACTATTAAAGAATTCCATTCAAATGATGTGCTTTAAAATATTCCGAGTAAAATACCGCGCAATAAGTGGTAGCATTTAAAGTACTTACTGCAACATTCAATTTTCAGTGAGAATAATGCTATTCATGTGTGGATTCGGATAAGCAGGTGTGTTTCCAATAGTGAGCATTTGACTGAGGCAAACTATTGTAGTGTTAGGTTCTTTTGAGAATGTTTCATTTAGGTGTTAAGTTACATGCCTTATCGGTTTTGCACAGAAAGACAAATTTCTGTTAAATTTTGTTCTGTGAAGGTAGGCCTACCTTCTGCCTGATTGACCCCGTCTGATAGATTTAATTAGGATAATGGAAGTCGCTTGGCGGCAGCTCTTGCCTCTCCCTCCCTATCTCCTTTTCTGCCACTCTTACTCCCCTAGTTAGGCCATGACAAGCGGCAACGCGTTGGAGACTTAATTTGAGTTCGTACGCCACCCATTTTTATTATCGACTAGCGAGACTCTTGGCTTTGGGGTGGTGATAGTGGTGGTGTTATTCGCTCGCCAGTACTCACTTTCGAAGTATGGTGCGTATTCGTGCAACAAACAAACCTGATTTTCCTCTCGAGAAACTTTATTTGTGTCCTTAGCGCCTTTGACAAAACACACAAGGTGAGTGTCAGAACGAGGAGATGGAGAGTTCAATGTGCGAAAAAAGATGACACCACGTTGTCCAGCTGATAGTACCAAACTTTCTTAAATTGGAATCCCCCGCTAAGTGACAGTGACTACATCCATAAAAAGTTTTAACAGGTGTTAAACTGAATTCGATGCCAATCTGAATAGATTAATAAACCACAATTAAAGACAATCAAATGACCCATTATTCGTGTTGATTGGTAGTATCTTAAAGTAATTCACCTATAATTTATCTGGTGTTACATGAAAAAAATATGGGAAACATCTAAAAATTCAGAAAATCATATTAAAAATATAGCATTTTCCATTTGTGAAGGAGCAAATTTAGGCTAGAAATTTTACCTGTCACATTCCCCTTAAAATGTACTCATTGAAAGAGTTTGTGGATTTACAGTTTGTGAGCACGGTCATGAATCGAGAGGTTTACTTAAAGTTGTTTTGATTAAAATTGGACCAACTCAATGTGAAACACTCATTTTTCAGACGACTGCCTTCGCAATGCATACCATGCACAAGTAATTGCAGATCACAGATAAAAAGAAGACTAAATTTGTCTGCGTTTGTTTAGGTTTGAGGTACGCTTAAACAATATTGCAAATCGGAGGGAAGTATTATCATCATCATCACCATCATCATGCGATTCCTCGTTTAGCTATTTCACATCTCTAGTTTTGACAATTATAATGTCAATGAAACGATGTATTCTGACAGAAACTACAAAATAATTAAGTTAGTGTGCACAAGTAATCTCGCGGGGATGAAAACAAAAGTTGCCGTATAGAAACTACGATAGCTCCTGACTAAAACTTAATTGTGAGTTCCACTTAAAACTATTTTATGGTGCTGCATTTCTGAAACGATTAAGTGTGTAAAAGAAGCAGTAAATTCAGGCATTCGGCTGCACTTTAGTGAAGTAAAATATAAGAAGAAGTTAGTCGTTAAAAAGGCTACAATGACCGATTGTTCACAGTTCACAATTTGTTGACATACCGCAGATAATAGTTGAAGGAAAGCAACCATCCATTAAATCTCCCAAACTCACCTATCGATTTAGAATCCTCTTCAAGTTCCATGCCGAAACCAACGGTCATATCCCTCGACAAAACTGTGATTTCTGTATAAATTACAAACGGATAATAGAAGGAGGGGGAGAAATCTCGGTCGCCCATTTATTGGTCAAAATGGCTCCGGTTATGACCATCCGACCGAATTCTGTGTGCGGATTGGCTGACGGGGTGCGTACGCACCTTGGATTGGCTGCTTCGTGCGCTACTGTGCGCCCCTGTTCACAGGCCAGGAGGCATTCATCTGTTCAATAACCTTGAAGAGGAAGTCTACGAAAATTAATAAGCGCTGCCGTTGAATTACTCATATAAATCATTAATAATGAGTACTTATGATAGCTGTCGTTTTAAAATGTGTGCTGAAAACCTCCCTAAGTGCGGTTAATCCTCAAGTCCTGGAATTGTATTTGCTGCAACACGTGGTCTACTGACGATTTATACATCCGAAATTTTATTGTTTAAAGTCTAAAAAGCCACCATGCACTAATCAGTTCCCTGACTCACATTTACGGCATTGTATGATAACGCAAAATCACCAAGGAATTGCATTTTCTGCCTATTGATTGATGGCAACATGAAATATTTCATTAGCCACTGCCTTTTCATAACAAGAAAAGGGGACACATGAAGGGTTGGGTATTTTAACAAGGCGTGGTTGGAAGCCTGACGGAGTCAAGTTGATACAATCGCGCCTCATCGAGCAGTTAAATAGTGGGCTGTGGTCAAGTGACCGCGGTCGTGTCCAGTCGAGCGTGAAGCTACCATCCTCATCGCTATTCGCCTTCATCTGGCGTTTTAGCTATCATTCAATTGCTCAGCTAAAACGGTTACAAACATGCAATCACACAAACTTCATCAGCAAGTCATTCATTTCTAATAATTCAATGAAAATAGTTCAAGACAGATTTATGCTTTTTTGTGCCCATTGGCGTTTTGGTTTTGCGATACCAATGAAATCTAATATTTTTCTAACTTATTCTAATATTTAACAGTTATCGCGAGGAAATTGAACTGTAATATCATCTAAAGCTCTTAAAGTGAATAGTTATTAGGGTCATCAGACGCTGAGTTGTTCGAGGGGTGCGATTGCCCCTTTGCAGTGGAAATCGTTGCGCTGACAGCCGTGGCTTAATTTGGGTTGTTTTATGTTTAAAAATTGGGAAAGAACCAGACTATAATTAACATACGCATAAAAGCTGCTGTTGTTTTTGACTACGGCTGGACATTATAAAAGGCCATTAAAATATCGCCACCCCTTCCACCTCCATTCAAGACTGGTGGCCGGTGTTCATTTGGGTCCCATGGTGTGAGAGAGGCGATTAGGAAGGGAGTGGAACACGATTTCTTTTTACTGCTTCACCTGAGAGTGGGTGCAATTGAAAGAGTAGGAAGGAGGGGGAATGTGTCGGTAATGGTAAGAGGTGGTTGGGTGACCGTTTCCTATGCGTCATGACTAATTAACACCTGATAGATCAGATTTACCGGTGATTGGAAAAAAGAGTCCGCTGAGACGGGTCTATAAAACTTAGCAGGTGCGCGGACTGCACCAGGGAGAGGTCACAAATCCTCGTAGGAGAGAGTGATAGGGTATGTTTACGAAAGTATGACAAATTACTTATAAAATGTGGTTTTAATAATTTTCTCTATTTTTTTATGCGCAACGGTAAATGTACTCCAAATGGAATAAGGAGTCACTAGGGTGCGTTAGTAACGGATCTTTCGCTCTTCAATTTCGAATTACCTAATACTGATGGTGACAGTGAAGCCTTAATATTTATCAAGAGGATACCTGACAAAAGAGCACTATTTGACGGCATCATTGTTGATTCAAAGCTTAATGCTCCTTTTGCTTATGGTAGATTTGCATCCTTATCACGAGATGAGTTTCATTATTTTACGACTGCCCTAAATGTATTAGCGGGTAAATGTTGACTTATATTATCAATCGTGCAGTCAATGCAACAATAACATAAACTCGTTACGTCGTCGAAAATGATGTTTTACGAAGTGACCTATGCACCAAAAAGTGCTCAAAAACTTATCAAAACTGCATTAAAAATTTTTGTTCTAACGTTCATTTTCCGTTGTGAAGTTTTGCTTTTAGTGAGTGTTCCCCATCAAGCACCGGCAACCTGGTAACCACTTCGGAGAGACTGACACATTCCGTAACGCAACTTAACAATCACGAGATGGAAGAACAATTCACTTAAAGGCTTCTTGACCGCATTAGTGGTTGCTGTGGCAACGCTAACACGTGTGGTGGATGAGGTTTCCTTCATGCTTTACCGCAAGGAGACCGAATTGAATCCTTCATTCAAAGTACCCTGCAGTGGTTTCGGGCCTAATAGTCCGCAACAAACTACGTCACTGGATGTGGCATCCCAGTCATGTGTAGTTCTAAAGTTTTTTTAATAATCTCAAACAATTTAGACGGCGGGAATATGATTGTTCGCCTACCCCATTTTGCGTGATTTTAATTTAATGAACAACCAAGTTAGTTAATTTCCATTTCATAATCTTCACATTTGTAGAAGATTAATTATGACTGAACCATTGGGCATTAAGATGCCGAAGTGATTCCTTCTTATCAAACTGCATCATAGAGACACTTAATGCACTAACTTCTGCTTGAAGATGTGCAGCTTAAACGGTGTTTGTGGATCTTATGGCAACACTGATTTATCCATCAGCTTGGTGGATGTGTTACAAAGATGTGTGACAGTATTGAGCTGCACAATTCATGACTAAGCCTGAAATGCTAAAACCGCTAACATTCCTGCAGCCTAGATTACACAGTGCGAGATCCGTACCAGCCCACTTAACATAATCACTGCAACTTTGACTAATACACGTTTCAAGAGGAAGTCGGCCTTTTGATTGCTCTTCCTCTCATGCGCACATCTAGGTTGTGTAATAACGCCCTGCACAATGTCGACTTGCGATTAAATGGCTAGTCCATCGTGTGTAGAAATCAGCCTTGAGATTAACTTGCGTGTTCACTTGAAACTTCCACTTAGGGATGCTAGCATGGGGGTGGAAATTTTGAGCCTGTCTTGACAAGCCTTGGAGGGGATAAGTGAAACTAAGTTACCTCACACATCCCAGGGCGTCCCCTTGCATAATCTGCACACAAACTTTCCGGCCAACGAATGAGCAACTCCACCAAAGGGATAATTTACCGATGCCCCAATAGGTCTCGAATAGATAAAAATTAGTACAAATAAAGCAACACATCTCGGTCCAATTTTAGACGTTTTAGGGTCATCTGATGGCAGGTGAGGGAGCGCATCAATAGTTTGTGGTAAAAAAGGAGTAAAATGCATTCTCTGTGAGTACTAAACCAAAAGGCAGTAACTTCAACTGCTCATCCACACAGGAATCAAGGCACTCGGTGGGTAGAGGAAAATCAATGTAGCGGGGAAGGTTATGGGTGGCCTCGGGTGTTGAGATGGCCCCATAAGTTGGAGGTGGTGCCAA